AAAGGCCCCGAGGGAGGTGCCTGTTTCAGATGTCCAGGGTCAGCAAGGACCGTGTGACCAGTGGAATAAGAAAGGGGGAGAGGAATGTGAGCTGATGTTGGAGAATAATGAAGCTCACAGTGACCTCATTGCTGCTGAATGCTCAGCCCCAAGGAGACTGTGGGCACATATTGCATTTGCATTTTAAGTTGGTTGCCAGGATGCCTTCTGAATAAAAATTCATCCCTTCGTTATTTCCATCTGTTGTTTTATCTTCTGGTATTTGGGTTATGGGTTACGTTTTGCAATATATTGAGCCTAGAATCTAAACACACACACACACACACACACACACACACACACACATACACACACACACATGATATGGTCTTCTAGGGCAATGTTAAGAGTGGATTCCTGTCATGCCCAGGGCACTCTTAGGAAGGAGTAAACACCAGGAAATCTGTTGATATTAACTTATGTTTATCAGGTTGGACAAATAGTACCCATAAATTCCTGTTATTAAATATTCCATACACATGTCATCCCGGAGTTCTTTTTGGCTTTGGCCATTTTCTGCCCTGAGTACAAGGAAACATCAGACAGGTTGGGCATGTAGCTCTGTGATAGCCCACCTGGATATTATATGCAAGGCCCTGGGTTCCAGCCCCAGCACAGGAAAAAGAAAGAAAAAGAAAGAGGAAGAAAAGGAGGATTGACCCTGGGTTTCATCCCCAGCACAGCAGAACAAGAAGAGCAAAACCCAGGAAATATAAAAACTCTTCAAAATAAGCAGAAAACCAAAGAAATGGCTTAAATGGGGGAAAAGCTCTAATAAGCTCGAGTGGACTTGCAGAGAAAGTAAGAAAAAAAGAATATTCCTCATCTATGGCTGCATCCCAAGTCGTTATATCTGCTAAGGATCTTGGGTAGCGAGAGGGAGCATGGGAGGAATAGATGAATTCTAGATAGGGCAGAGGGGTGGGAGGGAAAGAGAGTGGGCAGGGGGTTAGCAAGGATGGTGGATGTGATGGACATCATTATCCAAAGTACATGTATGAAGACACAAATTGGGGTCAACATGCTTTATATACAACCAGATATATGAAAAAGTGTGCCGTATATGTGTAATAAGAATTGTAATATATTCTGCTGTCATTTATTTTTAAAATCAATTTAAGAAACACAAAGTTCTCAAAAACAATGTAATAATAATATTTTTGGTGCCAATATAGTTGAAGATTGATCTACGTGGGGAAAAAGCAAATATAGAGGAAAGGAAAAAGAAAAATTCAAAGCAGGAAAACAAAGTTTGTACATTTTATATAAAATATAAAGAGATGTTTTCCTGTGCCATTTGAAACGGATTTGTCTAATTGGGATTTATATTTCATTTCATTTTAATTGACACATATAATGGTACATATTTAAGGGTATAATGTGGATTTCAGGACATGTATACATTGTGCAATGATCAAATCAGGGTAATTAACATATCCATTACCCCAAATATTAATCATTGCATTGTGCTGAGGATATTCAAAACTCCTGCTCCTGGTGATTCTGAAATATATGATTCCTATTTGTTAAGCACAGACACACTACTGTGAAAATGATTACCAAAGTTGATGCAGCTGCCTAACTGGGAATTTGTGCTCATTTATCAACTCTTCTCAATTTCTGTTCCCCTTCCTCTCCCCACTCTCTGGTTGCCACTCTTCTCTCCACTTCTGTGAGATTAACGTTCTTTGGATTCCACAGTGAAAACCAATTGGTATTTGCCATTGTATGAAATAATCCAGATGCTAAAAGACAAATACCAACTGGTGACTGTGGA